GGAAAGTCCTGACGTCAAGATACTTTTATTCTCCACATTTCGCGTAAAAATTATTTGTTTATTGTCATGATACCACCGTCAACAAGCTGCGAAATCAGGACAGCACACCCATTTTCCCGATAGTTTAAATCTTTTCCCGTAATTTTTAGTAAATGAAAAATCTTGCAAAGAGGGGGAGTCTGAGAGGCAAAACTCTGCACTGTGCAAAATTATGGTCTAGCTTGCTTCTAACTGTTTTTTTTGAAGTCTTTAGACCTCCCATGCGTGATAAATGAAGTAGCCCAACCCGAAAAACATTTGCGAATAGAGAATGTCGCTCATTAAGGAGTTTGTAATGAAATCCTCCCATAAAAACACTTATGCAACGGGATGACCTGGCGAGCCAAAGGCAGGAAATATCGATTTTTTGGAGTTCAGTATATTTGACGCTGGTGTCTCGAAAGCAGTGAACCCGCCCCTAATTGAAAGGGTCTATAATTTAGCCCTTCTCACGGCAAATCACTTCCTGCATCTGCATATTTTCTACCACCGACAAATTGTTTATTCAGGGGTGTAATGTCATGTGCTGGCATAGAAGTCACCCAGAATATTATAGGCTCGTCTCCAGGGACAGGATGGAATGAAGATTGAATGATTCATACAGGGGGCATACGCAACTGCACTATCCCATGGGCATCTCTCTCTCTCACTCTACTGAGTAAATTCAGCGAACGGAGTGTGGTCGAAACCTGTCTATGTGAAGTGCCTTCTGCCAACCCCTCCTTTATCAAGCGTGTTCGCCATACAAACTGGAGTTATTTCAAGTGCCCGACATTAAGTCGATAAACATCTTGTCCCATCAGGTTTGTGGACTCGAAGGCACGTTTGGCATCTCAAATAAACACTTAGCAAAATAGTTAAGATTGAGGTGGCAGGATATACCCTCTTTGATCGAATGGTTTTTCCTACAGGCTAACTCTTCTATTGTTCACAATTTGGAAAAAAGTACACAGTAAGGCATGAAACGACTTGTAACCACAGTGAATCCGCTAGCCCACGAAACATTGATCGAAATTCTGAAATGCATTTGCAATTCGGAAGTGGGTTGTATTATTGATTGAAGTGTGGTTGTATTATTGATCGTCATGTAGCTTAATTCTAAGATATTTCAGTCTCGTCAGGATGCTGGCTTTCGAACAAGCTTCTTACCCACCTTCTGCGTCAGTTATGTTCCGTAAAAATGGCCACTGTAGTAGCGTGACTTTTTCCCACCGATTTCCGGTGCCTGACATAAATTCAGATATTTTTTTATAGAAACAATGCATAAAATATCCTCCCTTTTGCTCATTTGATAACTGATTACGTCTTTTCGGATTTTCGACATGAGGAGAGAGTATCTTTTGGTTTTGAAAAAATTTCGAATTATGAGATCTTTTAAGACCATGATGTCCTATGACAGCTTTATTCAACTAAAAGTCATGAAATCAGTTAGTTTTACAGTCAGGTGCTAGCAAAGAATTCATTTCCAGCGATTATACTCAATAATAAAACCCTGAGAATAATTTAGTTTCGGAACGACCATTAGTGCAAATATTAGGAAGCCTAAGTACACGTTTAAGAGTTTGATTGTCCTACTCAATTCCAAGCGAATGGAGGGAGAGTCACTTTCTTCACTGAGGCCTACGAGCTCATATTCAACTGTTGATAGTCCTTCCACATTCACACTTGTTTAAACTTCTACACTTTCTATATTGCCTAAATGGGTTGGAAAGTTCGGAAACGCACAAACTGTATAACTATGAAAATACTTTAATGAGAAGGCGTGCTGAAACTAACATATAGTATACTCCCAAATACAAACATTTTAGGATTTACAGTAAGTGACGGATCTCATGAAATATTGGCTGAAATTCTGAAATGCATTTTCGATTAGGAAGAATTACATAGACGCGGTTACAGCATTACTTATTTTGCGACATAATCCTATAATACTTTGGACTCGGCAGGATGTCAGCTTTTAAATGCACTCCTTTTTAATCTCCTGTAGAAACCGAACTCGGTAAAAAACGACTTCTTTAATAGCATGCATTTTTGACATCGATTTTCGATGGTCATGCAAGTGAAAATATATTTTATAGAAACCACGAATACAAATATGCTTTCTTTCAGTCGTTTGATAAGGAATCACGTCATCTCTATATTTTATATTCAAAGAAGGAGTATAATTAGATTTTTTAAAAAATCCTCTACTTCACAAAAAATTTGGCGCCTGATCACTCGTTGCATTAGTACTGCGTGATTTGAGTCTGCAAGTTGCATTCGTTCCGGGGGAAGAAAATAACATATTCTCCTATGCCTTCAAAAAGGTACTATATAGAGTCCATGAAAATTTGCAATGGATGGGGATCCAGTTGTACATTTTATGAGGAAAAGTGGTAAACGGACATGTACGATGCTGTATGAATGGACATTGTACGGTCTTAAAAAATCTTATAAGTAAAAACTTTTTTAAATCTAATTTTACTCTTTCTTCGAGTATAAAATATAAAAATGACGTGATTCTCTATCAAACGACTGAAGGAAGGCATATTTGTATTCTTGGTTTCTATAAAACATATTTGAACTTGCAAGACCATCGAAAAGCAATGTGAACAATGCATGCTTCTAAAGTTGTCATTTTTTACCGAGTTCGGTTTCTACAGGAGATTAAAAAGAAGTGCATTCAAAAGCTGACATCCTGCAAATTCCAAAATATTATAGGATTATGCCACAAGATAATCAGTTTTAAGACCGTGTCTAAGCAATCCTTGTTAATCGAAAATGCATTTCATGAGATCGGTCACTCGCTGTAATTTGTGGCACTATAACTGGAAAAAAGGGATCTCTTTGTCAGAAAATTAACATAACTTATATGAACCCGTGAATTGTGATGTAGAAATACATACTAATTGTACAGTATTTCCTTTGCGATGGGAAGAAAAAATAGGTCGAGATCATTTCTGCATTCTGGACTCGGAGTAATCCGAAATAATACGATTCTATTACAAATGGAGAAATCTCAGTCATCGAGGATATCCATAAGATGTCGGTCAGCGCTTCCTAGGCTTCTGTATACACTGAATAAATTTGAAAATTGACTGCTCTTGAATTCTTGACTGTGTCGGTGCGGCTTTATACTCCTTTTGTACTCCTGAACTGAGATAACTTTCTAGCGCTGTACGTATTGATACTTATGGGAGACCGAACAGAGTCCGTCTAATAAAAGAAACTACGTGATAGGAAATTAACTATTAATCGGCGTTGGACATGCTCCCAGGTACACTTCGACTTGCCTCCTGTAGTTTGCTCAAAACACATGTCATTGAGCACGATCTGAGTCGATGATATCTCTTGCTAATTCGCTTTGCAACCTTACCTAGGCAGTATTTACTAGTTAAAAAGATATTTTGCAATGTATGTCACTATTTCACGAGTTTACGCGTCTTCTTAGGGTTGAGGCGCGGCCCTCTCTCCCACATACATCGCCATTCATCATTAGGGTACGAGTATATACAATCAGGCGTAATTTATATTGTGCTATTTACTATTTCACTTAAAGATGCGTATTACACCTTGGGATGTCAGACCTTATTCTAAACCCGTTGAGACCAATTCAACACTTCCGCCCTGAAATGTGAACAGCGTTTGGAGAAATGCCGCTGCCAAAATGGGAATGCAAACGAACAAGTCCATAACTGGTGGAAAATCTGTATCAGTATGAGAAACGGCGGTGATTGAGTGTTGACCGCAGAAACCCTAACGTGACTACAATCATTCAGCAAGTCACCTCAAAAGTTATTCTGCTTGTGTTACTAGAACGGATAGACTGGCTTACAATTGCCTGCTCTCTTCCAAATTACGTTTAGTACGGGTGTTCTCTTGACTATACCACTTTCTCATTGTTGTATCACTTGAAATCCATACTTTTCAGGTCTTGTCTTCCGATATCTTGGTGCTGCCTACCGCCTAATCTTTTCCGATCTCTTCATGGTAGAGGGTCCCCAAATAGGAATAAATAAATGATGAATTTCATCTAATAATCACTTCCAACTTCTGCTACTCAGCAGGTGCTCTGATATTTTTTGGATTTAAGCACTCTTTGTCCCGGCTCTTGCTGCTCTCCTATAGTCTCCTGATCAGCTTTTAAAGTAGTATCTGAATGCCTAAAAACGTGAGGAGATCAGTCGCAGGGCGTCTTTCTCCTCCCACGCACCGGTGATGGCGGCAGCGGCGTAAAGTTCAGCGTGGCGTGAAAATCCCCGTCCACGTCCGCCACACGCACATTCGTCAATAATTCTAGACTCGCGCAGACCTACTCCAACTTGCCCAACCATACCGTGAGTCATTCATGATCCGTTTTTGTTGATCAGCGCAGTCAGAAAAGCTTTAGAGGGGAGATATAGCTATAAGGTAGCTCAATGGGATAAGCCACATCACAATCTGCAGTCTCAGTTACTTTGGATTCTGAAAGTAGGATAAATTCAGTTTTATCTCCCTCCTATCTCTGTGGGGGTCTGCTGATAGTGGCACCTTAGGTTTGGATGCTATGAATCTTTGAATACTTGCCTTTATAAGTTGGCTGACAGTTCTTTTCCGAAAGGTTCTATTTAGGAGGTCGCATCATAGAAGCCTAAATGGTTGATACCCCAGTGGATCTCACATTCTAAGTTTGCGCTAGGTCTGGGGAATGAAAATATCAGTGGTCGAAAATCGTTGTATTCGCACTTCGGCAGAGTAATTAATGAGCTGTTTTGAATGATTGTCTAAGCGGCAGGTGAGGCATTAATGTTGAGCAAAGCACGCACTTGTCCGTATTGCTGTCCACCTGGACATCCGAAAGGTCGAAAATTGACACACAGAGAGAGACGAATTAGACACAGACGTGAAATTGGTGTCAGTTGGATCAAAAGAATCTGGAGAGAAGGGTGACGTTGGCTGATGAGAATAAAGGTGAAGCGAAAGTAGCCGACACTGACCATGCGCTAGGTGGAGAGAAGATGGCGTGGGGCAACATTTATTTTCTGAGCTCTGTAGGTCTCCTCATCGGAACTGTTGGTACTGCTGGAGTACTGTATGCCAGCCCTTCCATTTGTTTTACGTCCATGTCGGTGTCTTCTGGGGGATGAGGAGGAAGAGGAGGATGAAGACGATTCAGATGATGAGGACTCATCTTCCGCGTTACTGGACTGACAATCCCAGTGACCGTAATCCTCTGGGACCAAATGGTGGGCAGCGAACATGAATACGTTGCCCTGGTCAGAGATCCGGCTTCCATAGTTACCCACAGTCTCCACAATCTTTACATCGACAGACCAGTCCTCATCGTACAGGTCTCGCAACAGCTCTCTTTTCAACTCCTCCAGGTTTCGAACTTGTGGCATACAGGGCTCCTTCGGTGTGCCCTTGTAATTGTACCACATCTCCTCTGTGACTGGGGCCTCCATTCGCCTCCGATTGTCCAGGGATTGTCTAGGCAGACCCCTCGGCGAGTGTAGGTGGGACTGTGGTTTCTCCTTACGTTCCGCTTTTTTGATGTTTTCGACTGCCGATGTGGGTGTCATTATTTTCAGGGGAGTTTGTTGGTCATAGTCGTCCATCTGTGTAAATGGTACAGGACTCTGGGCCAGGGTTCGAGGAAGAGGTTGGAAACTTTCCTTCGGTTGAGGTGTAGCGGGTGATTCTAGTGGTGGGGGGCTCTGATTTGCGAAGGCCGCGCTAGCTTGTTGTTCTGACACTTGTACTGCAGTGATTGTCGGGGATTTCGGCTGCTCCTCTACACGCACTGGCGTGGGAGCAGCAGGAACGGGCGTGAAGGTCCAGTCGTCCTTGTCTGGGTTCTGGCTACCAGACCTTGGTACTTCCGAGATGGCAAAGAGTCCTTCATTTGACATCGCTCTCTTGCCCGGCTTGTCACCCTTCTTCTCCTCCGCCTCCTCCTCCACCTCTTTCCTGATGTCCTCCTTGGAGGGAAGCGGAGTTCTAGCGAGCGCCGGTTCACTGCGGGCTGTCTGTCGAATTTCGTCCTCGCTGCTGTGCTCGCTGGAGGTGGTTGAACGAGCATCCTCCTCCTCCTCCATCGTCGGTTTCTCCTGCATTTCCAGATTCAGGGCTGAGGTGTCCTTGTAGGCAGCCGCCACTAAAGAATTCTCCGGCTGACTGGGCGTGGGAGGTGCTTCTTGGGCGGGCTGCGCTGCTGCTTGATTGAGTCGCTTCCTTCCCTCTTGGATGACATTACACACCTGATTTGCCTGTTTATCATCGTGCATCTTCAACAGGAGGTAGGCCCTTCGACCCTCTGGCTTCTCCGGAACCACCAAAATAACCAGTCGTGGATCTCTGGCGAAGATGAAGAAACGGAGGATATCGGTGCATGCGAAGGAGAGCTCGCGAGGTGCAGAACCCACAACAGATTTGCGTTTGATGATGAGGTGGGTGTCGGTGCCGATGACTTTGCAGTCATAGGACCTGCCAATGTTCTTCTTATGCCTCTTCTCTAGCACCTCACGCGCACCCTGAATAGTGATCTCCTCCTCCAGAGGGATGGGGACTTTCCCCTCAACGGTGCCTTTCCCGCGGAACTCCTTCACCTTCGATTTGGAGTGCTTTCCAGTCTTTTTACGCTCGTCCGGCATATTTTTGTGAGAGGTAGGACTGTGTGCAGAGTCTGAGCTGCAAGTTGTTGCACCTCTAGGAGTGTGTCTACTTGTGTGCTAAAAGGCCGCCGGTCTAAATGTACACGTAGACTGACGAGATTGCGTCGGTGTACACCCTGAGGTTGTCGGATCCCGGTCCTACTAGGTTGGCAAACTCTGCGAATCACACCTCTCCTGCCTCACAGAGTACGCACGCCCGCCCGCCTGCCATCAGCTAAATCTGTAAAACTAGCCACTGGGATTGGTTAGGCAGGTGCTCGAGCACAGTGATCTGGGCGTGTGCGTCGCCATAGCAACCACACCGAGGTTGCGTGCTTACGCACGTGTGCATACGTTGTGGGTCACACCTTCCAAGTCAGCACTTTGCAGCAAGGATAGCTACTTGGAAAGCTGCCTTTTAATGATCGCAAAAACTTCCACCTTTCGCACTCTGAGTGGCAAATAGCCAAACGCTGAAAACGGACGGCAAGTAGCGGTTATCCGGATTCAAAAACACTCTGGATTTAGTCCACTTGTCGCACGCCTTTTCTGCTTTGAAGGCAGTAGTGGTAGTAGTAGTAGTCGTAGTAGTAGTAGTAGTAGTCGTAGTAGTAGTAGTAGTAGTAGTAGTAGTAGTAGTAGTAGTAGTAGTAGTAGTAGTAGTAGTAGTAGTAGTGATAATATTGGTGGAAGCAGAAAACGCTGCTCCAAGTCGATTCACGCGAGTTGCCTAGTTGTGCAGTTTGCACTGTCGGTCGAGGGTGATGTAGGAATTTGGAGTAACGCTCTCAAGACCAGAATCAGCAGGTCCAGGCGCAAAATATTATTGAATATCTGCGTTCAATACCGTCAAATTCAGAATGGTATTGCCGACCAAGACAAGGAAGGCTAGAATGGTCATTTCTGGCTGGTTAGCCGTCGTCAGCTACTCACACCCAACCCCGAAGTGTGAAACACCTGGGGCTCGATTCCGCGATCTGTTAGTTAGAAGTCCAACGCCTCTAACCACTGCGCCACGGGCTCGTTGTCCTGTCGGTTGTAATCAGGAATCTACAATTGTAGAGGCGTGTTCACCGATCGTTGGGCTCGAGAGAGAGAGAGAGCCCGTAAGGCACAACGGAACGAGTGAGTTACGTAGAAACGACCGGTGAGCGCCCCCCTCTACCATTGTACATTCCCCATCGGAACCGACAGGAAAACGAGCCCGTGACTCAGTGGTTTGAGGTATTAGACTTCCAACTAACAGTCGTGAGATCGAGCCCCAGGTGGTCAACAATTCGGATTTGAGTGTGGCTGGCTGACGACGGCCAGCAAGCCACAAATGGCCATTCCGGTCTTCCTTTCTTCGTCGGTAACAACATTCTGCCTACATCATGCGTCGCTTTGCGGTTGTTGGTTGAACTCGAGAGAGGGGCCGTAAGGCACAAGGGGACAAGTTAACTCCGTAGAAACGATCGGTGAAAGCCACTCCACCACTGTCAACTTCAGCAAATTAACCGGTCAATGCGAGCGACAAAAAATGTAGCAGTAGTAGTAGTAGTAGTAGTAGTAGTAGTAGTAGTAGTAGTGGTAGAATGAGTTGTACAGCTGGCATGTAGCAAGCAGGCTTTGACCGTTCCGTCAAAGTATGCTTAAGCTACAAGCTTAAACACCTAATACGCGGATATTTCAGTTGTTACATGAGACAATTGTAGTTTATGGAACATAAACGCCGGATGCGATGAGAACTCGAAAACTTTGCGCTGTATTAGGGTAGTGGATTGAAGTCAGGTGTCCAAAGCATGACTTTAAACGGTTGGCTTTGGAAATTGCAATCAAAATTACATTCAACGGAAGTACCAATTCATAGCGTAGACAGTTGGTTTACCAACGTTTCCACCGCTGTATGACCCAAATGCAAAGAATTGGTCTCTACAATTGGACCTAGCGTATATTATACGGCGTCCATTTAGTACCCCACTGTCTGAATGCTCAGCTTACAATTTTCTTGGAAGCTAGAATTCAAAATGCAAAGGTTGCACTTCCATTCGGAATTCGTGTACGAATTAGGGATAGTTCCCTCCCATAGGAACGGAACATCCGTGAAGCACGTGTCTGGATCTGTAACTCATAAATCTGTTCAAATAATGATCTAGGGCTGCTCACTATGCACAAACTTGTCGGGTGACCTTGAACTTTGAAGCCCGTTTTGTCGAACGGCCTAGTTAAGTAATCACAACCCACAAGGTAGTCGGTAGCACATGTTACTAGTACAAAGTCAACAAGTTCCTCAAAGTTCATCATTTTAGAATTCTGTCAGAAGTTACTGAACGAACTCTGTCCTAGGTAGGAACGTTTTGCGCTTGACTCTGGTTTATATGAAAGTGCCTGATTTGATGGCAAGTAATATCGCTGGACTAACCAGACAAGTCAGTCGTCTTTAGGATACTATTTACGCAGAGCAAAATTTACTCATAAGACAGCTGTTGGTAATCCGAAGCTGCCGCGGAATTTCTACGTTTCCGTGTACACTTTAAGAAGCCCCTGACAGGTGGATACGGCAGCCGGGATCGTTTCGCAGTTGGACGGCCAACCTTCTTTTTTCCGTTTCAAATGTTTGGGCATAAAGTACTGACCGAACTCAAAAAGCCTTGTGGGGACAATATTGCTACGAGGCAGTTCGGTAATGATTCGTCTAATAAATGCTCTATTTCTGAGCAGAGCCTGACGGAAGCAAACTACCAGTGGATGACTTTGTACTATTAACTCTGTCGCTGAAGCCTTGTACCCACGACCGTCAGTTGTGCAAATAAATCGATATGCTTTTCTTACCGACTATCAATGCAAGCGTGTATCTTCTTTGAACAGTTAATCATACCGGCTAGCTCTCCAAAGTTTTACGGGCTTATTAAGGCCAATTCTCTAGCTAGGGTAGTATCAGGAACGGAAGGAGGAATGCTGACGGTAAGAAATGATGGACCGCACACCTCGCAGATGTTGCTTGCAGTCGTGGGAATTCCCAGGACCACGATTGGTCCTTTATGTCGTATAAAATTTGACATATGATGGCGACTTTGAGTTTTAACGTCCGGGCACTTTGGTTGTTTTGTATGCAATAAGGTCTTTTCGATCTCTAGTGCTTCAAACGGTTAGGTGCACTTTCTAAGTTAGGTCATTCGCAGATTGCTGGAATAATAATCTGCGAGTTTTCGCTGCCTAAGGAGACATCTCTAGTGAACTTAAATCTGTTAAACTTAGGTTATATATGACCTACTATAAATGTAGCGAAACCAATTTGTATGTTTTGTAAGCAGCCGTTGGAAATCTGCATGACCATAATAACGTCTGTTCCTGCCTATTTGCGAAAAGATATTTTATGTAACGGAGTAACTTAAATACAAATGAAAGCGCAAAAAACATGAACGCGGGATCATCGGAAATCAAATGTATTAGCCTGAACCTTCGATATCATACAGGAGGCCATCGGCAAGGGTCGGTTACGCTGTCCGGATCCCAAGTAGAAGCGCAATGTAGGCATCGAAAGTAAATTAAGCCGAAGGTGGATGCTTAAATCGTTAGTGAGGAAACTAGCCGAAGTTGAAACAGAAAAAGAAACCTGATGTATGAGAAATCTGCCGCGAAATCGAAGGGAGCCTATGACCTGGCTGATAGTACACGCGGGACACCAATACTCCGAACGCAACGGCAAATCTACTGTGACCCCAAAAAATAAACCTAATCCTTAACGTAACTATAAACCTGACGCTAGCACTAGACCTAACACTAAACCTAACCCTAATCTACCACAAACCCTAGCCCTAACTCTAGGCCTAACCTTAACCCTGACCCCAACTCTAGACCTAACATTGACCGTAATCCACACCCTAACCGTAACCTCAGTCGTAACCCTACCATATCCCTATCACTAACCCAAACCCTGACCTTAACACTAAACGTAAACCTAAACCGCAATCCAAACCCTAACTCTAACTGGAACCCTTAAGCTTAGTACAAACCCTAATGCTAAACTCAATTCTCAGCCTACCACTAACCCAAAACCTAAAACTAACCCTACCTCTAAACCGAAACATCGGGTTAGCCTTTTCTGGTTTAGTTCCGGCTACTTTCCCACTAACGATTTCAGCATCCTCCTTGGGTTTCCTTTACTCGCAATGCCCACATTGCGCCTACACTTGGGACCAACACGGCGTAACCCACCACTATCGGCCATCAACAGAGACTGTGTGAATTCAACGCCAAATGAGCAGTTTTGTGATGCAAACTCCTGTTAGTCAGTTCTTCTGCAATGACGAAATTTGAAAAGTAGCCTTTCAGCCTTGTAAAAGATGAATAATTAATTTTACATGGACGGCAAAACGGCTTGGCGATAATATACATGAACTGTATGTGGTACACGCTGACATTTTCGCAAATGTAATCAATGTTGAGTAGAAGATAAATTCGACTGGAATCCCACCTGACAAAGCGTATCTATTAACAAATGCCCATGCTGTAATCTGTCCTAATTCTAAATGCGAGCACATGTTTCTTTTTCAATCGCAGTCTCATGCGCGCGGGTACATGCTGAAAAGGTGGGGGCTCAGTTTCTGGTCAGCCTAACTGCTAACGTAACAGCTCATTTAGGTGTTTAAACCAAAAAAACCATTAATGCATTCAGAAAAGGATTATTTGCATTATCAGTTCGACTGTTGCAAATGGCAACGTGAACTGTGCCCCCTGGCGTGGAGGGGGAGGGGTGTCTTAAGTGTGAATCATTTCATAGGGAGAGAGAGTGAGGGAGAGCAGACTTGCGCAGCACCTGCTGTGTTATCTCCTCCCTCCTCGGGGGGGGGGGGGAGATTGGGGGCGCGTTCGGACGCTGACAAAACTAAACAGACCGTTTACGCGTGCCACACACGATCAGGTTAGCTTACGGTGGAACAGGTTTTCGCACTAACGAGGAAGAAGCGGCCCACACAAAACTGAGTGGAAATGCCACAGAGGTCGCATTCAGAAGGAGA